GACCGAATTTGGTATTTCGGCCGAAATGATACAATCGAAATCTTCAGTAGTACGAGGCTTGTCTTCTGGCGCCAGTATAAACAACATATAAGCATGTAAAAGGCCATGCATTTGAGCTTCAATGATATAAATATAGCCAAGTACATGACCAAAAATTCCTTTTTTTTAAATATCATTAAGTAATGCAATTAATTTAAGCCTGAATACTCATGCGCAAAGGTCTGGATAGTCTTGCACCATTTGATCTGACAATAATTCAGCTTGAATCTCAGGCTATTTTGGATTATAGGTCATGGTAATAAAAAGATCCAGTTTGCCTAATTGACCAACAATAGTCATAGCGTCTTGATACAATTGCTTTATATGCCGAGAACCGCCAATAAAACTTGATGGAAGTACAATTTGATAATCAATTCAGAGCCCAGTTGGCAGTTAGTCATCGATTGATAATGAGTCTTGAAGTCTACTATACAGCTCAGCACGAATTGTTTTCTGGTTAAATCTCAAATAATTTAACCTACTTTGCTCTATACACGTATACGCGTCGACAATATATTGTTGAAAAAGGCGATCGGATCTGTGTAATGCAAAAAGTTTATTGGGTTCATGAATTCATATCTGTAATTGATATGCATAATATTACATCATCAAAACATAATTTCTACTATTAACTTCGTTTGTAGTATTAGAATTGCTTGCCATAGTATCACTGTGTGTACTGTCGATTATAATGTCATCCTCACTCACATTAACTAAATCATCAGTTGTAGATATATTTTGTTTGTCTTTTAGGCAAATGCCGAGTTGCTATCCAAATTTATCATGTGGAAACAACAAAACATAATATAGTAGGCTATAGCTTTGATAGATTTCAAAGATACGTTGCAATCTACTATTTTGTTTATATAACACAATATCTCAATTCGATGGTTCAACTTCTTGGCCATCTTCGACTATAAGAACGGCAACTTCAGATGCAGTAGGTGTCATATATTGATGTTCTTGTTGAGCTTTGGTAATAACAATCTTCAAATCTTGTGACAAATTTTCTTTTAAAATTTGAGCTGTATTTTGAAAGGTATTAACATAAAGATTAACTTTATGTAGCATTGTTTGAAGCTATGCTAGTATGGTAGGATTGAGATTTGGTATTAATCGTTGTCTTTGTTGTAACTGCTCATCTGTATTATATATATAAATTTGTGAACAGAATAGTATATTTTGATTTGCAGACAATAGAGAGCCAATACGATGATAAAGTTTACCCTGAATACAAAAACTATATACTTCTTGCATTCCTATAACATGTTCATCGATTTTGGCATCTAAGGAAGTGAATACAAGTATGGAGTTGTATATACGAATCTTTTTTTGAAAATCACAGGCTTGAGTGTTATCCTCAGTTAGAAGAGTATATAATAGTAGTGGTGGTGAAAAAATAGCAGGCAGTTGTACCTGGCCTTTTGTACAACAGATGCTAAAAATTGGCAATCATTTAGATCTAGCTACTTTCTCATCTATCTAGTGCAAAGCTTTGCATTCTGGGTATTCAACATTTATACACCTACCGGAATATAGAATTACAGCAATTGTATCATAGTTATCAATGCATGCTGAATTGGAGGTATGTTTATTAGCCTTATTTCGGTTTTTTCTGCATAATTCAGTTTGCTCATTGTTTTTAACTACATGATGGTAGGCATGTGTTTGTTTTTGAGCATTATGATGATGTTTAGCTTCTTTAGAATTTTTTCATTTTCTCAATACTAGGCATAAGCTTGTTTTTGAGCACTTTGATGATATTCTGCTTTTTTAAAAGGTTTATTTGCATGATGCCACGTATATACTTGTCTTTGTATACTTTAATACTGCTCAGCTTTTTTGTTAGTTTCATTTGCTGCATAGCAAGCACAGGCTTCTCTTGCAAGTCAGTTTTTTCATTCATGAAGACTTTCGGAAAACTTAGTAGCAAATGTCTTTTCAAGCGTATATGATATTTGTTTGGCATATCATTCATGTTCTAGATAGTTTTTAATTTCACGAAGAGGTTCACGTATAAAATATGAATTTGAGTCCATTTTTAAAAAAACTGTGTAAGAAATAAAAAGCAACTATAACAATAAATTGCTTTTTTGAAAGTATTTATAACATATATAGTGATCATTTAAATAGTATGTATATGCAATGTAATCTACTCAGGCATTGTTTTTTATTATAGTAGATTTGTATTCTAATTGTTATACATACTAAGAACTAAATATATTGTTATTTGTTATATATACACCGGCAGTACTGTGGCTTGTTATGCTACTAAATGTATTGTTATTATAATATATGTACAACAAACATTGTCATTCTTAATTTTTATAAAAAATCATTTGATCAAATGATACAGAAAGCTTATTAAATGAAAATTAACTATAAAAAGTTTTTTGGTAACAAAGGTTTAAGTAAAATATTAACTAATTATTATAACTAAGAATTATTTATTGTCTACTAAGTACTTTACAGATTTGATATAGCATTACCATTCAAACAAAAAAATGTTTATTTTTTTTATAGTCTATTCGGCTCAGATTAATCAAAAGAAATATCGACAATATTTGGTTACTTGCAATAATTTTGCATTTAGTATTTAGCTTTAATAAACTCTTTCTAAACCATGCTTATACTTAAAACTATAGTAATATAGTTTTATTCAAAATAAAGTTACTTATCGATAAAATGAACGCTCTCACCAGTTTAACTAACTAAGTTCGAATAAATAATTTTTTAATACGTAGAAAAAGTAAAATAACTATATATAAGAAAATAGATAACAATGGTATATTATATATAATGGTTATTTTTTTCTAGCCAAATTACAAACTTTATTATTAAATCAAAAAACTATATGGCAAACACAAAACAATATATAAGAAAAAAGTTTTAAATTCTGTGACTATGAATTGATAATAGCAATCAAAAACACTTTGCTTAGACTTTAGGTTTATAATGAATATAAGAATTGCCAAGGCTATGTGTTATAGAGATATAACAAATATTTTGTATAGCTGAACTTTTAGGTCAACGCACATTTATATTATATCGAAAGCTGACTGTATATAAAATTGTATCTATCTCTCTACTAAAAAAAAATTGCCTTTTTAAAAGTTAGTCTGTAAATGTAAATAATGTCAAAGAAAAATATAGAAATTCAGTTCAATACTTTGGTAGAGTAAAAAAAATATACCTTACAGATCTGTATCTTGTTTTTTGAAACTATATTTTATCAATAAAAAGAATTTTGTTTAAGTGTAAAAAATAAAATAAGATATCGAATACTCAATAAATACAGGTAAAGTTTTAAAAATTTCAAAAAAAATGTATTTATGTTGATTGTACTTACATAGTCAAAAGTTATACCCAAATAAAGTAATACGTAACAACTATTAGCGTAAATAACCTGTATATATTTGAAGAATTAATTATTTAAATACAGAATACGTATATATCTTATTCATCTCTTCAACTCAACTCCTTTAATTAATTTATCCAAAATTATTTTGAAAATTAGTATATAGTTCAGATTAATAAGCGATAGATAATGCAATGTATAGTTCATAAAGAAATTTCCTAGTTTGAAACTATTACACAATTGTTATATTGCAAATTATAGTCATTTTAAAGTATATAGTAGTTGTGTAATATAGATATATGTAAAATTGTTTTTGTATAATGACAGACACGTTGATTGATTGATCATCAATTTTTTTAATATATAGATATTATATATATAACAATTTTTACTAAATTAATATTAATAAATATTTGCATATTGAATGCTGTTTTTGAGGTCCTTAGCTTTATTTTTTGAAGTGCTATAAGTGCAATAATCGCATTTTACTTCTGTGATCATATTACTGAATTCATAAATGTTAAATCTTTATGAATAACATATTTATTATTTAAATTTTTACAACTTGTAACTACTGATATCAGTATTTAAAATTTAAAAAAAAATTTATGTGCACAAATGTATTTTGTATATCTTTTTTTAAAAATTTTACATGCATACTTAATGGGTTTTTAAAAAATTTAAAAAAAATTTGTGTATATGTGCATCTTGTGCATGCCAATTTTAAATACTAACTGATATAAACTTGCTCGAATGAGCAATATTAGATTGCTTCTTTGTTAGATCACGTTTTGGATACTCGCTATATATTTTTTCTTGATTTACTAGTTAAGTTATTTCTGATCTAGTTTCATCAGATTTCAACCAACTTCCAGATTCATCCAAAATTTCAGAAGTATTTGGACATTTCTTTGGGTTATCATCCAATATTATTGCATTAATTTTACCTATCAAGTTGGAGTATCTTTAATAGTTTCTGGGCGATCTCCATTTTGTATGCTTAAAATTAGTAAAGTATTATACTTTTTATTATTAAATGGTAGCATACAAGCTAAAATTTCTTACATAATCATCCTAGAGCATAAATATCGGTTTCTTTAGAATACAAATAGCTCTTAAAAAGTTCTGGAGCTATATATGATATTAAACCATAAGTTAATTTTTGTGTATTTTCTAAGTTCTTGATTAAAGTTAAATATTTGCTTAGACCAAAATCTGTAATTACTGGTACAAAAAAAAATCCTCTTGTTACAAACAAGATATTATTACTATGCAGATCACCATGAATCAGATTAGTTTCATGCATAGTTTACAGCAGAGATAATCTGAATATAGAAATGATTTTTATGTTAAATTATCATTGTTTGGACCAATCAAAATAGCATAACCTGATTGTTTAACCAATCAAATTACTGATTTACAAAATTTTGGGATTTAAAGAGATTCAAGAAATATGTTGTAAAGCAAAGTGTGGGCTTCTATTTTCTTAAAAATTTTTTTACATTTTTTAGAAAGAATAAAGCACATAAGCCTTTCAAAAAAGTATTGTAAAATAATATAAAAAAATTCATTATCAATTGTGTAATAGCTCTGTATAATACCCACTGTCTTTGCTGTATAAAGAGTTACAATAGAACAACAAAATACAGTAAATAAACAGATTCTTTTATCCCACTTGAGCCTTTTATTTTGAAGAAAATTTCTTAAACTTCTATCTTCACAAAACTTCATTACTATAGCAAACCCTATTTGTAGAACTATAGTAAATCCAAAACTTTCATTCTGAAAAATTAATGGCATAGCAGAAAGAATCTGTGCTTCATAAAGTGTTATCTTCAAAAAATATTATTAAAAAGTTAGTAATTTGAAAGCTAATTTAAATATAATTAACCATAAATAATATCTCATTTTCCATGTGAATACCAGGCATAAGTATTTTAAGTACTACAGTAACTAGTCTTTTTCGAAGTCTTAATCTACTAGATCCATAGGGATAACTATCAAGCCATTTTGCAGTATAGACAGATAAAAATCCTCTATTAGCAAGATGCTAAATATTTACTATTCGTTCATGATTTATCCATTTTAAATAATACTTTAGATTATCTATTCTACTGATTTTATATATTCTCTAAATAATTTTAATCATCAAGCCAGAAAATTTATTTAATTTCAGTTCATTCCATTTGTATTTTGCAAGATCACCTGTTAAATTTTAACTATTGCTTTTGGCTTTCTTGTTAAATATCTTATATACCATATTTCATTATTTTGACAAGGTTTTTTATACTCATTACAATCCAGATAGTATTTTGTACAAATTAGTTTAATAGAAGTTAATAGTAAATCATTTGTTTGAACTTTTTTAAAACCATGCTCTTATATTTCTCTTGTTGTGTAAAAGCTATAAAATGTGGTATAAATCTTGAAAGGGATATACTAACATATTCTTTTATTTGAGCTTGCTTTTTTTTTCTGTTATTACTGTTATTATACTTTTCTCCATATTCTATAATTTTAGGTTCAGAATTAAGTAAGTTATCACTAATATAATTAAGTATTTCATTTATACTTAGACATTTATCAGAGTCATTATCCCAATATCTTTTTATAATTTCTGCCAAAAATTTTGGTGTATCTTCAGTAATTGGCAGATGAAGTCCATTACAAATATTTAAAATTAAGCTATTATCATAACAATCATCATTAAATAGTAGTTCACTAACTGAAATCTCCTACATGATTATTTCAAAAGCATATATGCCTGTTGCTATAGAGTGTGGATGGCCCTTAAAAATTTCTGGTGCAATGTATAGTATAGATCCATAATTTCCTCCTTGAGTAGCTGCTAAATTGTTAAATACATTGCTTAAACCAAAGTTAAAAATTACAATATTCTAATTATTGCATATTTTATAAAATTTAATATTATTATCTTTTGTAAACAGAATATTATTTGGATATAAATTGCAGTGAAAAATTTCAAGAGAATATAGAAATCTAAGATATTTAGCAATATTAATTATAATGCCTATACAATCCATATAAGTGAATTCTTGCTTTTGAAGAAGATTTCGCAAATTTTCATCTTTATAAAAATCTATTACTGCGGCAACATGATTTGTCTGTGTGAGAAAAGTAAACCTATAAATTTCTGAAAGCATCTCAAAATCTTTGATATCTGAAAAAAATTTATTATTAAATTTAAAAATAATAAAAAGTTAAGTTAATTAGAAAGATTAGGCTTTAAAATAAATATAAGAGATTTAAATATTACTTCATCTATAATACTTGTTGCTTCATTAAAAGAGCTAAGCGTTTTAAGTACAACTATAGTAGATCTCCTTTGAAGTCTTATTCTATTATTTCTACAGGGATATCTATTAAGCCATATTGCTTTGTAGACAGATAAAATTTCTCCATCTGTAAGATATTGAATATTGACTAAATCTTTTGGTTCTATCTATTCCCAGTAAAAGTGTAAAGTGTTTTTGTCATTATCAATCTGTGTGTGTCGAATTATCATATCGATTGTATCATTACTACTTGTCCACACTTTAAACTCTGGTTCTGGTTTTCTAAAATAATATTCTATGCACAAATTATTACAAGGTTTCTTATATTCTTCACAGTCTGGATAACACCTATCACATAATGTTTGATCAATAAAAATAGGTTTGACTATTTGTAATGGTTCAATAGTTTCTATGTCTTGTTCATAGCAAGGACTCAAGTTATTTTTTTTAGTAACATCAACACCTTTAGCAGATTTCATATACTATTCAAATACCTTCTCAGTATCTCTAACAATTTCTATTCTATTTTTGTAGCATCATGTGACTTTGTATTGTTCATTAGTGTTACCTTCTTCAGCAGATTTTAGATATCATTCAAATGCTTTTATTTTATCCTTAGTGGTACCCATACTGTTTTGACAGCAGTGCCTAACACTATATTGCCCATAGGTGTTACTACCTTTAGCTAATTTTAAATACTATTCAAATGCTTTATTTTTATTCTTGATTTCTGTAGCACTATCTAACATTACATTGTCTGTTAGCATCTCCTTCTGCAG